AAATATTCACTATTTATACCTCCCGTTTTGAATTATGTCCAAATTTAAAAGAGTGGGGCTAGTAAAACTCGACCACTGGTCCCACTTTTACTGTCATGGGATGAAAGACTAGGTGTCTTCCCACAAATCCCTTTAGGGATTCCCAGGAACAATCTGTCGTTTTCGGGCAAGTACGCCATAATTCACTATTTATACCTCCCGTTTTGAATTATGTTCAAATTTAAAAGAGTGGGGCTAGTAAAACTTGACCACTGGTCCCACTTTTACTATCATGGGATGAATGACTAGGTGTCCTCCCACAATTCCACTAAGGGATTCCCAGGAGCAATCTGTCGTTTTCGGGCAAGTACGCCATCAAATATTCACTATTTATAACTTTAAATAAGTTTTGAATTATGTCCAAATTTAAAAGAGTGGGGCTAGTAAAACTTGACCACTGGTCCCACTTTTACTGTCATGGGATGAAAGACTAGGTGTCCTCCCACAATTCTACTAAGGGATTCCCAGGAGCAATTTGTCGTTTTCGGGCAAGTACGCCATCAAATATTTACTATTTATACCTCCCGTTTTGAATTATGTCCAAATTTAAAAGAGTGGGGCTAGTAAAACTTGACCACTGGTCCCACTTTTACTGTCATGGGATGAAAGACTAGGTGTCCTCCCACAAATCCACTTAGGGATTCCTAGGAACAATCTGTCGTTTTCGGGCAAGTACGCCATCAAATATTCACTATTTATACCTCCCGTTTTGAATTATGTTCAAATTTAAAAGAGTGGGGCTAGTAAAACTTGACCACTGGTCCCACTTTTACTATCATGGGATGAATGACTAGGTGTCCTCCCACAATTCCACTAAGGGATTCCCAGGAGCAATCTGTCGTTTTCGGGCAAGTACGCCATCAAATATTCACTATTTATACCTCCCGTTTTGAATTATGCCCAAATTTAAAAGAGTGAGGCTAGTAAAACTTGACCACTGGTCCCACTTTTACTGTCATGGGATGAAAGACTAGGTGTCCTCCCACAATTCTACTAAGGGATTCCCAGGAGCAATTTGTCGTTTTCGGGCAAGTACGCCATCAAATATTTACTATTTATACCTCCCGTTTTGAATTATGTCCAAATTTAAAAGAGTGGGGCTAGTAAAACTTGACCACTGGTCCCACTTTTACTGTCATGGGATGAAAGACTAGGTGTCCTCCCACAAATCCACTTAGGGATTCCTAGGAACAATCTGTCGTTTTCGGGCAAGTACGCCATCAAATATTCACTATTTATACCTCCCGTTTTGAATTATGTTCAAATTTAAAAGAGTGGGGCTAGTAAAACTTGACCACTGGTCCCACTTTTACTATCATGGGATGAATGACTAGGTGTCCTCCCACAATTCCACTAAGGGATTCCCAGGAGCAATCTGTCGTTTTCGGGCAAGTACGCCATCAAATATTCACTATTTATACCTCCCGTTTTGAATTATGCCCAAATTTAAAAGAGTGAGGCTAGTAAAACTTGACCACTGGTCCCACTTTTACTGTCATGGGATGAAAGACTAGGTGTCCTCCCACAATTCTACTAAGGGATTCCCAGGAGCAATTTGTCGTTTTCGGGCAAGTACGCCATCAAATATTTACTATTTATACCTCCCGTTTTGAATTATGTCCAAATTTAAAAGAGTGGGGCTAGTAAAACTTGACCACTGGTCCCACTTTTACTGTCATGGGATGAAAGACTAGGTGTCCTCCCACAAATCCACTTAGGGATTCCTAGGAACAATCTGTCGTTTTCGGGCAAGTACGCCATCAAATATTCACTATTTATACCTCCCGTTTTGAATTATGTTCAAATTTAAAAGAGTGGGGCTAGTAAAACTTGACCACTGGTCCCACTTTTACTATCATGGGATGAATGACTAGGTGTCCTCCCACAATTCCACTAAGGGATTCCCAGGAGCAATCTGTCGTTTTCGGGCAAGTACGCCATCAAATATTCACTATTTATACCTCCCGTTTTGAATTATGCCCAAATTTAAAAGAGTGAGGCTAGTAAAACTTGACCACTGGTCCCACTTTTACTGTCATGGGATGAAAGACTAGGTGTCCTCCCACACTTCTACTAAGGGATTCCCAGGAGCAATTTGTCGTTTTCGGGCAAGTACGCCATCAAATATTTACTATTTATACCTCCCGTTTTGAATTATGTCCAAATTTAAAAGAGTGGGGCTAGTAAAACTTGACCACTGGTCCCACTTTTACTGTCATGGGATGAAAGACTAGGTGTCCTCCCACAAATCCACTTAGGGATTCCTAGGAACAATCTGTCGTTTTCGGGCAAGTACGCCATCAAATATTCACTATTTATACCTCCCGTTTTGAATTATGTTCAAATTTAAAAGAGTGGGGCTAGTAAAACTTGACCACTGGTCCCACTTTTACTATCATGGGATGAATGACTAGGTGTCCTCCCACAATTCCACTAAGGGATTCCCAGGAGCAATCTGTCGTTTTCGGGCAAGTACGCCATCAAATATTCACTATTTATACCTCCCGTTTTGAATTATGCCCAAATTTAAAAGAGTGAGGCTAGTAAAACTTGACCACTGGTCCCACTTTTACTGTCATGGGATGAAAGACTAGGTGTCCTCCCACAATTCTACTAAGGGATTCCCAGGAGCAATTTGTCGTTTTCGGGCAAGTACGCCATCAAATATTTACTATTTATACCTCCCGTTTTGAATTATGTCCAAATTTAAAAGAGTGGGGCTAGTAAAACTTGACCACTGGTCCCACTTTTACTGTCATGGGATGAAAGACTAGGTGTCCTCCCACAAATCCACTTAGGGATTCCTAGGAACAATCTGTCGTTTTCGGGCAAGTACGCCATCAAATATTCACTATTTATACCTCCCGTTTTGAATTATGTTCAAATTTAAAAGAGTGGGGCTAGTAAAACTTGACCACTGGTCCCACTTTTACTATCATGGGATGAATGACTAGGTGTCCCCCAACAAATCCACTTAGGGATTCCTTGGAACAATCTGTCGTTTTCGGGCAAGTACGCCATCAAATATTCACTATTTATAACTTTAAATAAGTTTTGAATTATGTCCAAATTTAAAAGAGTGGGGCTAGTAAAACTTGACCACTGGTCCCACTTTTACTGTCATGGGATGAAAGACTAGGTGTCCTCCCACAATTCTACTAAGGGATTCCCAGGAGCAATTTGTCGTTTTCGGGCAAGTACGCCATCAAATATTTACTATTTATACCTCCCGTTTTGAATTATGTCCAAATTTAAAAGAGTGGGGCTAGTAAAACTTGACCACTGGTCCCACTTTTACTGTCATGGGATGAAAGACTAGGTGTCCTCCCACAAATCCACTTAGGGATTCCTAGGAACAATCTGTCGTTTTCGGGCAAGTACGCCATCAAATATTCACTATTTATACCTCCCGTTTTGAATTATGTTCAAATTTAAAAGAGTGGGGCTAGTAAAACTTGACCACTGGTCCCACTTTTACTATCATGGGATGAATGACTAGGTGTCCCCCAACAAATCCACTTAGGGATTCCTTGGAACAATCTGTCGTTTTCGGGCAAGTACGCCATCAAATATTCACTATTTATAACTTTAAATAAGTTTTGAATTATGTCCAAATTTAAAAGAGTGGGGCTAGTAAAACTTGACCACTGGTCCCACTTTTACTGTCATGGGATGAAAGACTAGGTGTCCTCCCACAATTCTACTAAGGGATTCCCAGGAGCAATTTGTCGTTTTCGGGCAAGTACGCCATCAAATATTTACTATTTATACCTCCCGTTTTGAATTATGTCCAAATTTAAAAGAGTGGGGCTAGTAAAACTTGACCACTGGTCCCACTTTTACTGTCATGGGATGAAAGACTAGGTGTCCTCCCACAAATCCACTTAGGGATTCCTAGGAACAATCTGTCGTTTTCGGGCAAGTACGCCATCAAATATTCACTATTTATACCTCCCGTTTTGAATTATGTTCAAATTTAAAAGAGTGGGGCTAGTAAAACTTGACCACTGGTCCCACTTTTACTATCATGGGATGAATGACTAGGTGTCCCCCAACAAATCCACTTAGGGATTCCTTGGAACAATCTGTCGTTTTCGGGCAAGTACGCCATCAAATATTCACTATTTATAACTTTAAATAAGTTTTGAATTATGTCCAAATTTAAAAGAGTGGGGCTAGTAAAACTTGACCACTGGTCCCACTTTTACTGTCATGGGATGAAAGACTAGGTGTCCTCCCACAATTCTACTAAGGGATTCCCAGGAGCAATTTGTCGTTTTCGGGCAAGTACGCCATCAAATATTTACTATTTATACCTCCCGTTTTGAATTATGTCCAAATTTAAAAGAGTGGGGCTAGTAAAACTTGACCACTGGTCCCACTTTTACTGTCATGGGATGAAAGACTAGGTGTCCTCCCACAAATCCACTTAGGGATTCCTAGGAACAATCTGTCGTTTTCGGGCAAGTACGCCATCAAATATTCACTATTTATACCTCCCGTTTTGAATTATGTTCAAATTTAAAAGAGTGGGGCTAGTAAAACTTGACCACTGGTCCCACTTTTACTATCATGGGATGAATGACTAGGTGTCCCCCAACAAATCCACTTAGGGATTCCTTGGAACAATCTGTCGTTTTCGGGCAAGTACGCCATCAAATATTCACTATTTATAACTTTAAATAAGTTTTGAATTATGTCCAAATTTAAAAGAGCCCCCCCCCCCCCCCCCCCCCCCCCCCCCACCCCAAACCCCGGACAAAATGTCGCCGTAGCAATTATCGTGACATCCCTGAAAATTCTTGGCCGATTCGCGAAGCCGTGGAAGCAGGCGAGTCCAATTTCTACAGCCCCGCGTAATACTGTATCCGATATAGCTAATCCTGCTAATGTTGGCTAGATTATTGGGCTGGCTTGTTGTGGGCTCGCGTATTGTTGGCCAACTTGACACAGGCGCCGACTCCTATGGAACGACTCTCTCGGCTCAGCTGGCTAGCTAGCTCACAAAGGGTACGTACGGTACGGGGGCGCGCGGGCGGGGAGCAGCGGCACCGTACCCACGTACCTGCCTGGCTGAGCCGGGTCGACTGTCTACGTACAGTACATGCACACGAGTCCTGCTCAAGACAAGTCAGAGACTTGTCTCCGATTTAGAATTTCATCTCTTGAAATTGCAAATTGAAGAAATTCAAACGTAATCAAGTGACAGCCACAGTCATCGTCTCACCATAATTAAGGTAGGTCTAGGTACAGTATTATAAAACACAGCTTTGCTTAATGCCCTTCACTTTTTCAGGTAGGGTCTAGTGAACGAAACTTAACCTGGCCTGACCGGCCTTGTTTAATTTTAAACGAGGTCGTCCCATGCGCCACGGCCTATAAGCATGACTACCGGTATGTTGAATTTCCTTCTGTATTCTGTACGAAATTTAGAGCAGATATAGTCTAGATTGTGTGATTGTGTTGTCGACAATTTATATTCCCTGTCATGGTTGATTCAGGGCAATTCCACGGTAACGGAAGGACACTCAGACAAGATTTTTGAACTTCAGGTTCATAGATCTACTAAAAGAACTGTTTTATTAGTATAAGATTAGACCGAATTTTATGTCTCTTTCGTTCGTTAGCCTCTTATTGGGGTAGGGTCGGCCGGCTCTCTCTTTAGAGACGGAAACCGTCTATACACATTCCCTTGATAACGCCACGGCCATTTCAGGTCGTAGCGTTTTGCCCCCAAAATCCCCCAAAATGTCATTTTACCTCGTGCATGTTATATTGTAAATTAGGCCTAGGCTATAATAAATCAGTTCCACTTACCAACTTTACTGAAATAATCAGTTTAATAGTCCCTTTTTAGGAATTTATGGGTCAAAATCGAAATCCATGTTGAAAAAGATTTTCAAAATGGATTTCGATTTTGACCCATAATTTCCTAAAAAGGGACTATTAAACTGATTATTTCAGTCAAGTTGGTAAGTGGAACCGATGTATTATAGCCTAGGCCTAATTTACATGTGGATATGCACGAGGTAAAATGACATTTTGGGGGATTTTGGGGGCAAAACGCTACGACCTGAAATGGCCGTGGCGTTATCAAGGGAATGTGTATAGACGGTTTCCGTCTCTAAAGAGAGAGCCGACCCTACCCCAATAAGAGGCTAACGAACGAAAGAGACGGAAAATTCGGTCTAGTATAAGATGTGAAACAGTACAGATATAATACCTATATAAGTGCCTTTAATTCTCCCCCAAAAAATTGTCATTATAGTTAAGTAGTTTAAGAATGTGCATATTAAATCTTGGTAACAGAAGGACATAAAAATGGACATGGTTTTTCCAGTTAATTAGTGTTTATCCAAACTTTGTGAAGTTGATGAAGCTTTCCACTTGACTGAAACACATTTTGTTCCCCATAGTTTAATACATACTAATAAAACATTTCTTTTAGTATGAACCTGAAGTTCAAAAATCTTGTCTGAGTGTCCTTCCGTTACCGTGGAATTGCCCTTCACCAACGCCAACTGTTTAACCAATTTTTACTTGTCAGGGAATCAGGCCAGGATGGCAGGAATTAACAGTAACATGTTAATTTGATGTTTATATAATGTTGCTGTTGCAGTTGTCTTGTTGTGGTAATGTTGTTAGTGTTATATAATGTAACACTTATTGATCTAGTCTACATCTCAAAATTTGCGGTGCTTTAACTTGATAAAAATGGTGTTTGTTATCATGATCATGAATACAACAATGTTGAACTTGAACTTTGAAGATAGATTTTTAATTATATCACGAGCTTTAAAAGCTTTAATATAAGAATTCTAACTTATGTATTACATACATGCCACACGAATCCTAAGAGTACAAGTTTTAAACTATGAAAGATTGGGTCATAAGGTTTAGGACATAAATGATAGTTACCTTGTCTAGTGCACATTGTTATTAATAACATTCACAGGTCTGCATCCTAGTAATACCTCAGTCATATCAATGAGACCAGCACCAGATCAACAACGGACCGATCAAGCCATTATATTACTTCGTATGTCCAAGAATCAGTCAGGTCTGGTGTCGGTTAGGAGTCGGTCTGACACAGTGACTGAGTTACAAGTATAGTCACATTCATACGTTTTTTTCTGTGTTGTGTATAAATTAAAACTTATTGACTTTCAATTTGATGTTTTTTTTTACAGCAGAGTCAAGATCCTGCATCATGAGGATGTATTCAGGCATCTTGTTACCATGGAGACACATCACATTACATGGGAGGTCATTGCTTCCTAAGAGATACTCATCGGGAGGTAGAACAGTAAGGACTCCTTTCATGCAAGCAATCAAGAAAGGGTATGGAGAACGAACAGCCATTGTTGATAATCAAAGGACACACACTTACAATGATATCATAAGTTGGAGTATGGTTTTATCACGACACATCCTCTCTAATACAAAGAGAGATGAAGTCCTCACAAGGAGAGGGTCAAAGGTCATTCTGAATGGTGAGAGAGTAGCCTTCCTGTGTCCCAATGATGCATCATATACTATTACCCAGTGGGGTGTGTGGATGAGTGGTGGAATGGCCGTTCCTCTATGTAAGTCACACCCAGAATCAGAATTAGAATACATAATCCAGGATTCTCAAAGCTCTTTGGTAATAACAACCAAAGAATTAGCTCAGAAGATCTTACCCATTGTTGAAAGACACATGATCAACTACATGATTATTGACAATCAGGCTTTATCTCTTGCTGAAGGAAATAATGTAGCTGATATTAAAAGTCAAGTTGAGTTACAGGAAGACCCAATGCAACAAAAAGCAGATTTTATAGAGGATAATCTTGCAATCATGACTTTCAATCATCACACTGACGACCTCATCAACATGAATATCCTAACTGAGAAATGGAAGCAGATTCGTTGGAAGAATCGTGGTGCTATGTTAGTCTACACTAGTGGTACGACGGGCCAACCTAAGGGTGTCCAGGTGACCTTTGGTGCTCTTCAAGCTCAGATACAGATGATGATATCAGCATGGGATTGGACGTCTCGTGATGTTATTCTTCATGTCTTACCTCTTCATCATGTTCATGGTGTCGTTAATGTATTAGCATGCCCGTTGTGGTCTGGTGCTACGTGTGTCATGCTGCCTGACTTTGATGCAGAGAAGGTAATGATGGCTTACAGGAAAATAATATAAATAGAATTCAAACACACTGATGATATTTCCTTTTTTTAAAATTTGGTTAGAGATATCTAGAAAATTCCTAATATTTGTATAGATTAATCCACCTAGTAGACTTTCTTTGAATAACTTGTTTATAGCACAAGGCTGATCTGCCACAAGGTCGATTATTATTGATTAATCTGTATGTGAGAAGTGATAGATTCCTGCAAGGGTTTCAGCCTTCTCTCATTAAAGCGTAGAATTTAACACTGGGAAAATAGTAGAATTCTTGATAAATATGTTCTCTTCTTACAAATTGTCTGTTTTTAGAAATAAAACGATTGCAATTGATTATAATATCAAATCTGATTTGTTCTAATGACCCCAATTTTGTTAAGTTGTCACCGAGAGCACATTTTATCTTGCAGAGTCAAAGAAAAGTTTTATTTAAAAAAAATTAGTTCCTTGTTGCGCTATTTTTAATAGATGTGCATTATAAAATGTTCATTTTAATTGTAGGCCATACTGTTATGTGTTTTATTTTTGGCATGTTCTACAGGTTTGGCACATGCTCCTTGAAGACCATATACCCAGGGTGAATCTCTTCATGGCAGTACCAACTGTGTATGCAAAGCTTCTAGAATTCTACCAACACAAGTACACCACACCAAAGGTGCAGGCTTTCATTAAAGCAACATTGAAAGAGAAAATAAGGTGATTCACAATACATGATCAAGTGAAGAGTGGTATCTGAATAATTTTGTATCTCTACATGCAGTTAAAGAAACAATAATATATGGATCTCAAACTTAATCTTTTGAACTTCCTGAACCGACCTTTTATATCTAAATTAGCAGGACTGCACTACTTGCAGCTACTTGCACCATCTATATAGCCAACAATGCCTAAGCAGTACAAGTTGATCCCCCATGTTCCCCTTTTTCTTATGTTAATTGAGAGCTGATTTGATGAGATAACCACCTGCCAGTGACCACGCAGGGAGGTCTAATCCCTCCTGGAAAACCTAGTGCATTTAGGCTTTAAACCCAGTGAGTAAAGTGCTGAGAAGGACAATATAACGAGACAAAACTGAACATTAATACATTTTAGATTTTACAAAGTCCTAAACATAATGAAACCTCAATTTCAGACAGGAAAAAAAAAGCAAAAAATGATATGAAATGAAAATTATAACTGCATTTTCAAAATGTGACACACTAATGGTCAGGTGTCGTAGTCGAGTGGTTTCATCACTTGACCTGAATGCAAAAGTTGTGGGTTCAAACTCTGGCGCGGCACTTATGTCCTTGTGCAAGGCATTTTATTTATATTTCTTTTCTCCATCCAGGTGCTAAATGGGTGCCCGGTTGGATACGAAGGTCAATGTGATTGGATTACGAGTATGTTAGAATGTTCCATAGGGATGGGAGAATGTGCCCTGTAATGTGCAGACAAATATTTGAATCCAGTGACTAAAGGTATTAAAAATAGTGTAAGCACTTTGGTCAGTTGTAACTAATAAAGTACTTTATAACAAACAGTCCTTAGTAAGGAAATGTGTTTGATAAGAATGTACTACTTCATATTTGAACTAGCTTATAATTGATTACCATAACCTTTCATATCTGTACCTTTCCTATCGCACTTTGTATAAATGTATCATGTATGTATTTCATCTTTTGCACAAGCTGCGCCTTGAGCATTTGACTGTCAAGTGGATTTGGCGCCTTATAAATCTTACGTATTATTATTATTATTATTATTATTTCCAGATTGATGGTGTCTGGCTCAGCAGCCCTACCTCAGCCTATCATGGATGAATGGGAGCAGACAACAGGTCATAGATTACTAGAGAGATATGGAATGACTGAACTTGGTATGGCTCTCACTAATCCACTCAGTGGAGAAAGAATACCAGGTAACACATTTGTTTGATCATATGGATTGGCTTCTAATTTTTGGGGGTGTCTACGATGTTAATATATATCTATCGCTCAAGTTATTTCCTTTGAAAAGAAAAGAAAAAGTTTTTGAGTTATGATGTGTGGTTTCTGGGGGGGGGGGGGGGGGGGGGGGTACACAACATCAGATATTTACCCAGTTTTTATTGTGGGTTTCCACTGTGTTATACCTAGAAATGTTGGATTTACACACCATGAAGCAAGAAATATTGTTATAAATATTAATAGCGTTGTCTCGAAGAAATCTCTTCTAAACATTTCACTTAAAAGTTCTTCACATCAGTGGTGTTGTACATGATATAATTGAGATTTCTTCATCATCTCTCTTCAAATAAATATAAAAATTAAAAAATATTTGATTAAAAATTACATGTCAACTGCATTGTATTTTGTGATTGTAAACAGGTGCTGTAGGGAATCCCTTCCCAACAGTCGAGGTGCAAATCGTGTCCCCCACCAACCAAATCATCGCCAGAGGAAACTCCTTTCATAGTGAGGTAGTACCAGGGTTTGAAGGTCAACCTGGTGAATTACAGGTCAAAGGTCCTGCAGTCTTCAAAGAATATTGGAACAAACCTCAAGAGACGCAGGAGTCTTTCACCGAGGATGGATGGTTCAGAACTGGTATGTAAATTGTTGTGATAACAGACATTTCCCTAAATGCAGCAAGCATTTTTTTTTGAAAATTTTGAAATATCTTTTGGCGATCATCAAAGTTGCAGTATCTCTTTATTTGACATAATATGGAAAGCAGAATAGGCCAAAATGTAAATACCATCAATCATTTGATTTTTATTTAAACAGGTTGGAGCCACCACTCTGGTTTATACTGTCATGCTTTATGTTATAATAAATGTTGCTCTCAATAAGAAGAAGAGGTCTAGGAAATCAATTTTAATAACATAGTGATTTATTAGTGCTTTTTATTGTTTGTTTGAACAGGAGACACAGCATGTTTAGATGAAGGTGTGTTTCGGATCTTAGGTAGGTCATCAGTAGATATCATTAAGTCTGGAGGCTACAAGATCAGCGCCCTTGATGTAGAGCGACATCTCCTATCCCATCCTATGATTGCTGAGGTAGTCGTCGTTGGTCTCCCAGACATCACATGGGGTCAGAGGGTCACTGCCATAGTAACATTAAAGCCAGGTCAAAGGTTAATTCTAGGGGAGCTTAGGGATTGGGGGAGGGATAAGCTACCATCGTATCAGATGCCTACTGAACTGAAGGTCATAGAGGAAATACCTAGGAATGCTATGGGTAAGGTTAATAAGAAACAGTTAGTATCTCAGCTCTTTGGCATTGAGTAATGCTATGGTCACATTACCAAAAAGTAGGCTGCTCGGCGGCCGAGCGGCGAGTTTTTAACAAATTCTGCCCGGCGGCTGGCCGGCCACCGAGCGGCGGCCGCCCAGGCACCGCTCGTTTTTAGGGCATCGCTCGGTCGCCGCTGAAGTTTTAGCGCGGAGTTAAAATTTGGGCGGCGCCTGCTCATTTTTCACTCGCCGCCCAAAATACGCTCGGTGCCTGAGCGGTCGCCGCCCGGGCACCGACCTAATTGCTGGGCGATGCCTAATTCCAGCAGCGACCGAGCAGGCTACTGATCGGTCGGTCGCTGCTCTGATTTGTGACCATAGCTTAAGATAGAAACATGTAACAGTATTAACAGTCTAGTCAAGTTTTCTCAAGTCTCTTTTTATATTCCAAATCTTGTTATCACCTTTTTGGAATACTTTAACAGCATTCACTTGCATCAAAAAGAGGGTGAGAGTCCCCACTCCCCTTTGTTTTTTCTTTATTAAAGGTAATAAAAAACCAAACATCTCTTATTTCATTTATGATGCTGGACTGAAGCTTTCCTGAATATTGTCTTATATAGCACCATGTTGAATGCCCAAGTTTTTTTCTTCTCTTCATTCCTTGTGGGTAGGATAGGAACTCTGGAGGTATATGGATGATTGGCATGAAATTTCATGTTGAATGTATGTCCAAAATGTGAAAGGCAAGTTTTGTTCATGCTAAAGTACACTGAGCTTAGTTCAGTAGTTGGAGGGTCCTTGAGACAGGAGTCCACTCTGCAGAAAAGCCAGTCTTGTCGGCCTTGGTACACTGAGAAGCTCTCACTCAGTTCAAGTTTATTACCTATTCATGTTAAAGATGAATAAAATGAAAGGTTGTGTAGCTTTGTCAAGTTGGCAAAGTAATTCTTAGGTAATGTGATCTTGAAAGTCAGAAAGATTATACAATAATATGATTGCAGAGGGGGATTTTTCAGGGACGGCTATGAATGGCTACCAAGGTGTGTCTGTTTCGTCTCACCCTACCATTATCCGTTTGACTGATGTAGGAACGTGGATGATGGGTCCCAACGACCACTTGACCACATGGAGCTTGATCTCGGATCCACACTACATCACCTTGCTGGAGGGTCGGTAAGATGCGGGTTCTATGTCGTTGGTTGTAGTTCAGTGTCTGATTTGAATGGTACTTGTCTTCTTTTATTCTCACTTTTTCCAAGTTCTGGACTTGTGGCATAATGTATCAGGTAGAGTGGGGGGTTCAGTTCGCAGTCTCCGTCCCATGAGCAGTTCACATGGCGCCAGGCCATTCTGAAGTGGTGTAGACCGGTAACTCTGCAAAGCAAGGTTCATGTCATCATTCTTTTTCAACAAGGCTTTCACTGTTCGTACACCTTACTCCACTTCCCCAATTTGCCTGATGATACCTTGGTGAGCTGGTAGTATGGACAATCCATACTTCTCTGTAATTTTCCAGAAAGTCTCATTCGCGAATTGTGGTCCGTTATCCGAAATCATCAAATCAGGGATACCGTGTTTAGCAATATCTACTTCAAGGATTTAATCGCGGCTTCATAAGAGTGTTCTTCTTCTTCTTCCTTTTTGAGTACAGACCTCTTTACAGAGTATTATCGTACTATACTAGGGGTGTGTGCAGGTGGACCGCTACACCGGGGTTCCCCCCTACTCTTATACGAATAGTGTAGTGGGTTCTTAACGTGCAAAGGTAGTGGCTCTTATACGAATAGTGTAGTGGGTTCTTAACATGCAAAGGTAGTGGCTCTTCTCTGTGTTCATGTAGCCTTCTGACTTTTATCCATTATCTTGAATAGTAGTCCACTTTTATATTCTTTCCTTGATACTCTAAGAGGTCCATTCCTAGTCTTTCCCAAGGATGCATTGGGAAGGACAAAGTCATCAGTGGTTCTTTAGTCTCCTGGCTATGGATGGCACAAGTAGTACATCTGGAGATCATCTCTTTCACTGACTTCGAGAGGCCTGGCCACCAGACCGACTGTCGAGCTCTGGTTCTGCATTTTGTGATGCCTAGATGACCTTGATGTAAACGCTGTCGGATGTCTAGTCTCAGAGCCCTGGGAATGACCAGTCTTTCATCATACAGGAGCAAATCATCAATCACACTGAAGTGTCCCCTCTGTTCAACGTAGTGTCTGATGATAGGATCGTGAGGCATGTAGTCAGTATATCATTTCTCTCAATTCAATTCCATAATAAAAAACAGTAACATCAAAATACTACTTACCGGTATACATAATTATTATTAAAATAGTAAAATATTGACAGTAAAAAAAATAGGAATTTGGTTACTATATAAAAATCGTAGGGGGTTTGTCTGGACAGCCACCATTAACAGTAAAACTAGTAAAAGAATCATAAAAAATGATATATGTTATATGAATAAATAAACAACAAAAACAACAACAAAACAAAACAAAAAAGAACATAAGCAAAAACAAGACTATAGACCGCACAACCGTAAACAAAATTGCACTGTGGAGTAATATGAGTGTTTTTACAAAGTAAGATCATTGGAAATAAGATAGAATTTAAGCTTTCTTTTAAAGAGTTCAAACTTGTAATAGAAGTAATATCTGATGGTAAAGAGTTTCATACAGCAGGAGCTTTATGTCTACCGCTAAAAGAGTGTAATTCATATATTTTGAAATAGCAGATAAGTAATAATTCATTCTATTTCGAGTATTATAGTTATGAACTGAACAATTTAAAGTTAACATATTGCATAAATTATTGGGTGATAAACCAAGCCTGTGTTTAAAAAGTAGTCTCTAGTTTCTCACAATACTCTCTGATTAACGCACATTCTTCATCAAGTCTCTGTGCGTCTCTAATCTCCTCCAGTCTCCGGTCTGTTGCAGGTAAGGTGAGGGTAGATGAAGATGCGAAGGCTTCGGTCAGTTCGTTTAGCTCTATGTCCTCTGGCTTTGGGGATGCTACTGGTCCTCTCCCTCTAAAACACTAACACGCATCAACACACATACAAAGACACACATGACACTCCCCTATACACACCCCTATACACACCTCTTACACACACACGCACAATATAATCGTACACGCCCTACACACACACAGACACTGCAATCAACATGAGAAGTGCTCCGGCATAGAAATGCCTGGATGGAGATGATTGAGACAATAAATTATCGGAGTATAAAATAGCTATTACGCAACGGCGACTTTGAATGAAGAGAAAAGAGAAAGGAAGAAAGAGAGAAGAAGAAGAGACATTCATGCAAATTACAAACTACTAAGCTGGGGTGTGAAGGGCAGTGTAACGCATTTGCAGATGACAGATGAGTTCTTTGTTATTGTTTTGTTTCATTTTTATTTAAAAAATATTATATGTTCAGTATGTGATAAAAAAACCAAATCATTTTATTGCAGAATTCAAATATTTGTGTTCATTATTGAAAAGGCAAGATATTTGGCTCTGACAAAAATTTAACAAGAAAGTATTTGTCATAGGATAAATACACTGCCGTCATTAAAATTAAATACATACGCAAATTACATGTGTATGAATGGCCAAAAAAGGTTGTTTTTTTTTAAAGTAAAAAAATCATTTGTGACTAGAAATGTACCCTTTTTTTTGTTGCTCAAGGGGGTCAACCGCCCCCCCCCCCCTTGAGTGAAATATCGGCCGGCGCGATTTTCCAATTTTTGGGGGCCCCTCCCCCCCCAAAAAAAAAAAAATTAGTGCTCACTGACACCCCTCTCCCCATTGTACACACATTCTTTTCTTTGTTTTCCCGCCTTTTTTGTTCATTTTCCTGCCTTTATTCGTGAGACAGTCACTGTGATTGGCTTTTTAGGTAATAATGAATATTTCATTTAATAGGAGAGGCTCAGTCCTACTCCACTAGCACTTCTGTGATTAGCTTCATTGCTATTCAATATTCTATTAGCTATTCAATAAAGTAAGTAGTAGATGTGCAGCGAGGATCATGATCTAGTTGTGCGAAAAATACGATGACCTGTTTTAAGTACGGTATTGATGGAAATTACTCACTTTTATCAAGAAATTATTTTTAATGAGTAGACTTCGTGATCTCTGAAGTGTGTATTTTGATGTGTACCAACCATTGAAGTGATCAGAAATGGAGGCATATTTGTTCTCACAATTATTTTTCAAGGGGTTTGATGGGGTTTTTCATTTTTCATTTTTGTCCGAAGTTTATTCAGGGGGTACCGGGTTGGCACAGCTGAGGCCAGCCCTGTCGATAGAGAATGCTATTTCTTATCAACCGCCTACATCCTACTGCCCTTGCATATATATCAATGGTCCTATTCTACATTGCACTGGCCCTGTTTCCCATTGGTCCTCCACCTAGATCCAATATCCCATGGATCCTACACCCCATTGGCCCTAGACCTATACCCCATTACTCCTACACCCCACTGGCCCTACATGGCCTGTATCCCATTGGTCCTACACTCCACTGGCTAGGCCTACACCCCACTGGCCCTACATCCCACTGGCCCTGTATCCCATTTTTCATACACCCCACTGGGCACTGGCCCAATGTCTATGCAACGCCAATGGTCCTAACGTTAAACCTACCTAGATGAAAGATTCCGGCTGAGCCCATTCACATAGCTTTATACCCGAGTATAAGTTTAATCGACGGGGGGAAATCTCCAAGTGTCATTCAAGGTGCATTGTAATGATTGTATGTTATTAAGTGGTTTTATAATTTGAGGGGTTATCAAGACCCTACAGTTAATAATTTTGTTAGTAAGAGGGAAAATGCTAAGAAAGTGTCTAAAATGGACATACCGGTAAAGTTTGCCGAATGAACAGATGGTTAATCTTTGCGACAAATATTCCGATACTCCTGATGTTCTTTTTCTTTGTGATTCAGCATTCATTATTCTTTGCTTTAGTGTTTTTTTTAGATTTGATGAGACCAGATCTCTAAAATGCAGTGACATCAGTTTTTATGACGATCATAATGATTTCCTCTTTTTTTTGCCATTTGCCTTGGGACCACTTTGATATTGAGTCTTTGAATTTGATGATGTAATTCCTTTTTTGATGATAGATGTGTCATGTGTCTTAAAATAAATCCCCCTCATATTTTCATTTCCACATTTGTTAAAGTTCTACCATATGCAGCTGCATTTGTACAGTAAGTATTCTAAAAAGTGTGTGATAGTTGGATATGATTTTGTATCAAAAGAGATCATTTAAGAAGAGAAAACTTAGAAGAAATACGAGTAAATGTTATCTGCTATTAAGAAATTGGCAGGAAATGTAAGATAAGTGTAATAATGACGATTATTTGACACTTGATACTGTTTCTTAATGCTGTACAAAGTTTTTACCAAAGCTTTACTTAAGCTGCCAAAAAGCTCACGCATTCAAGGACGATACCAAAGCACTTCACCTGGGTGGAGAGTGGCAAATGTAAGTTAGTGCCCATCCAGTTTGTTATTTTCCAGCAAGTCATTTTCATCTGGAGTCAATGGCAGCTAGTACATGTGCAGCATTATGAAAGAGTTATAACGACTGTTAAGATAGTTATTATGGGAAATGAAAATGACCTTGAAGCATTTGTCAAAACAATGCGAGTTAATGATCAACAATTGCAATCACTGACGTTTGAGAGGAAAGTCTTCCAAGATGTACATTTATTATATCAATTTGTGCAATTTGTAAAAATCATGACTTTGTTGATTAAATGCAATGTATTACTACATGTCACTGGATATTAGTTGTGTGCAATTCATTTTTATTTGTGATCTTGTAATTGATTACTACCAGTGATGGTTTGTAGCTAATTGTATATCAAATGGGAAGTCTTCAAATGATAGATCATTACTACAAAATTTGAGAAAAGCTTTGATCAAAGACAGGCTGAAGTTTTTCATCTTTCAGTACATTCTTTCATTTTTACAATAAAAGCTGATGAATCTCTCTGTTCAAAGCTCTTTGGTGATTAATAATGTAATTACAAGATAAAGCACTTAAGAAAGGAGCATTAAGAAATATAGAAAATTGACTATTATTGTATGAAAGATGTTGGACTGTTAGATGACAGAGAATGGAGAACTAGAGTATATGCGAGCACATGAACTGATGGTTTGAGATCAGACTGTGAGGACCAGTGATGACAACAAATAAAAAAACTCTTAAGCAGAACAAGTTCTCTCCCTTCATAGAGAATATTCTCTCACTTTGACTTTAATACAAAGACAACGGTGCACATCATGGCATCTTTTCACGAAACCGTCATAGGCATAAGTTCAAGGCCATGCCACTGAAAGACATGTATTGCAATTAACATGCGTTTCAATGGGATATCAGCGAATTCTTACTTAAGACGGTTTCGTGACATGCTGCCCATCTTTATATTATTTAGTTGATGCTATGTTATTACAAGGGATAAAACTTGTTCTAATAAGAAAGAAGAAGCCATATTACACTGCTCCCACATGACACTTGCAGCCTGATAAAGTAGAATGGTGTGCCATCAGAGAGTAAGAAAGGAAGAGTCAAATGAAGGTTAAAGATAAAGTTGAGTTCTGGTCATGCGATTGCATTGTGAAAGAAACGTTGTGGAATCGATCAGAAAAGGTTGATCATCTAGCATACAAGTACTGGTGTGTACTGCAAGGTTCTGGAATCATCAAAATGATAAGAAATTTGGCCCAGTCTTGGTAAAGTTACAAGCACTGTACACAGAAAGATATATGGGACTTCACGAACATGTGGCATAAAAATCTGTCCCGATTTTTATGATTTTACCGGTACATGCCATATTTAGAATATTAAGACATTTGAAGGGCCATGCTTTTCAGGGGACATTTTTTTATCTGATGTTCTTCCACACTTGCATTATACAATGATAACACTCACAAAGTATTTTTAACCTCTTCCCAGAACTCAACCTTCTCTTTAAAGACTATAGATTTGAACTAGAACTTTACCAATAAATAATTATTTGATCAGTAAATATAACTTTGCCTCCTTGCATTGTTTATGCAGGGAGAAAAAAATCATGTCAGTCATCAACAGAAACAAAAATAGAATGTCAAAATTTGTTCTATCTACAGATGTATTTAATACAAACGATATAAAAACAAACTATGTTAAATTCGTCCTTGTTTTCACGAAGTGACGGTAGTGAAAAAAAATTGCATTCACTTTGCATTACGATTTTCCTCGCTACTGTCACTTCGTGAAAACAAGGACGAATTGTAGCATAGGTAATATTGTAAATGAGGACATAGAGTAGGCTCTTAGCCAATTCACACACAAGTAATAGCTGTGCACATATGTGAAAGACATTGTATGCATTTGTAAAATATAAAACATAATCTCTATGTATGGGATATTTATTGAAATAAGTTTAAAGCCTATTAAATAAAATAAAAAACTCTTATTGCCTTGGTGTATATTAATCTGTTTTACCAGGGAGATGTTAGATCTAACATCTTCCTGGTTTTACCAGGTTTTGAACCTTTATAATGAATATTTCTTTACAGAAGCAATTCAGAAATCTTCATTTTTTGTTTATTCTAATTCATTCCAATCCAAAGTCATGGAAACAAATAAATTTTACAGAGGAAAGAAACTTGAAACACCCTGAATATACAGGAAACAAGGTGAGCTGAATACTGGTGTACAAAGTAAATCTAACCACCCTTAAGTCATTACAAATGAATACAATCATGCTTTCTTACAATAGGACTTTATTATTCAAACATCAAAATACCTTCCGAAATGCTTCAAGCTAACTTTCCAAAATACATCTATTACATAAACGGTGTCCAACTGATTTCTAAGAAATCGTACATACCAGTAATCTTTCCTGAATCATAAAATGTTGAAAGAGCGAGTACAAAACTAATACAAAGAGACTAACGTTGATTTTTGTTTCAAGAATCCACTTGCTCAAACGGGGTTAAACAAATTAATGTTGAATTAAAAATTTAGTAAACAAATACAAATACAAACTTACATGACTAGATCATGACTACGGTATAACAAATATCTTTTAAGATATATTAACAGTTTCTTGAACACTCCTATAAAAAGATTTCATACATTTAATCTAAAGATTGTCAATCAACTAGAACTACCCTTATATTGTTCATTCAATGATACAGAAGAATCCATGTAAAATAAAAACAATTGTAGACCTTTGATCACACAAACCTGAGTATGTTATATGGTCCCTTATGAGGTGTAGGGATGCCAGCTTCTCACAGTAATTAATAGATGCATTCTTGGAAGAGCAATATTGCTCAAATGTCTGCAATACACTTCTCCTTCTACCCATTCTCTTAACCTCTTTTTCTGTTAATGTAAATGAAGTATATCAATGCAGCTCATCCATTTTCATGATGTTACAAACATGATATAGGATAAGCTCTGAAGCTCAAATCTGCTTCACTGCTCTCTATGGCAGTATTTTGTTCTCAAAGTTCTGAATATTAAAGTAGATCCACATCTGCCTCTATTTCTGTTTTGTGTTTGTCAGATATTAGTATACCTCCTGAAGACTGTGCTCCCCAGTCTCATTGAGAGCCCTGAAGGTCAATTCCCTCCAGGGAAAAAAAAAAAAAAAAAAAAAATTTTCTTGGGCTACTTTTCAAGCTTGCCTCCATAAAAATAACACTCTAAAATTTGTTTTGCATTGAACTCTATGCAAATTTACAGGGACTCTTTTCTGATACGCCCTGAGCCCCTATGTATTTTTTCACTGATTCCCTCATGGAAGACGAGCACCAGCTTCAGAGCTGGTCATATATTATAAAGGAATATCATGAACATGTCAATATGTTTAATACAAAACATTTCTATTAGACATCACATATCTTGTGCATTAATGCTAATCACTAATATACTGCTTTAATATAATGTTCATATCAAAAAGCCATGTGATAATCTCATTTCTAGCATAGTGCTTTAATCAGAACAGACCTGGGGGGTGTTTCATAAAGCTGTTCGTAAAGTTACGCATGACTTTACGAACGACTTGTATATGAAAAGCCAAATGGGATACTCAATCATTCTTGATTATTATTTATTAAGTTGAACTATGCAGATGTAGATTAACATTCTTATATAAAAAATATTTTTAATGCAAAGTATATTTTTTGCCATAATTTAATTGAGGTTATTGGAAATATCAGAAAAAAACTTTGGGCATCCTCTCTGGCACTTCATATACAAGTCGTTCGTAAAGTCATGCGTAACTTTACGAACTATTTATGAAACACCCCCCAGTTGAAAGATAGATTAAGAATGCAACGGATGTTCTTGATGACTGAAGCTTGGGTATCAAATGACATTGGAACAACTAATGTACACATTTAGCATACTTGTGTCTATACTATTTCATTTCAATGTCTCATAACACATCAGTGCACTGGTTCACCACAAGGTACTTTTGGTAGAACATCCATGCATGTTTTGAAAAACAAACTATTATTCTACCATAGTTTTCTAATATTCCATCCATCAATTCAGAACCACTTACGATCTGGCCTATTAAACTTGCTACTCTACCCTGATATATTACCCTGAGAAAGCATGCTGATAGACAGGTGTTTCTAGTAGTCATCTTGGGGGTTTCCCTCCATCTGTTTCTAGTAGTCATCTTGGGGATTTCCCTCCATCTGTCTCTAGTAGTCATCTTGGGGATTTCCCTCCATCTGTCTCTAGTAGTCATCTTGGGGATTTCCCTCCATCTGTTTCTAGTAGTCATCTTGGGGATTTCCCTCCATCTGTTTCTAGTAGTCATCTTGGGGATTTCCCTCCATCTGTTTCTTGAAGTTATTTTGATAGATCTCATCAGGTGTAGCTGCTTCTATCACGGCTGGATCTTCTTTCATTCGACCACAGTATCCCATCAGCTATCCATTCAAAGAAAGAAAGTATTAATGTCAATAATACTTTTGAAATATAATAATAATACTCTGGATTTATAATAATAATAGTAACAATAATCTTTTAAAGTCCACTCCAAATTTTATTAAGTTAAACCGAAAATGGAAATTCTTTTTGCTCAATTGATCCTGAGCCCGGCAGCCACTGAGCAGCGCCAGATTGATGTTGCTCTATCCCTCATTGTTGAACGCCAAACAAGGTAGCAGCAACTCCCGTCTTTTAACGTCTTTAGGTATGACGCGGCCAGGTTCGAACCCACGACCTACTGGTTGTGAGGCGGACGCTCTACTGACTGAGCCAACACACCGGTTATATGTGTATATCAGCACCTACCGGTGATACATCTACCACGTCTCTAAAGCAATTTCCAGATTACCCTACAAAACAGGTTTAGGCTTGCCTGTATACATTCAGATCGCTGAGGAAGTGATAGTTTGCCATCGCCTGAAACCAAAAGGTGACTATTTGCTTTATATCCCACATCGGAAACATTTAATTTCTTCCGTCATTTAAGAGCAACAAGTCATCAATTAACAGCTAGCGAACGGTCTATAATACGTACAGTGCATGCAGTACTTACGTACATTCGTATACGCAACGCATACAAGAAAGTGCATTGCACTGTGTAGATAGTACGACTATCTTCAATGAAAGTGCATTGCATTGTGTAGATTGTACTACTATCTACACAGTGCAACAAACTTTTCTTCTCCCATCAATGTTGGGTGAACTTTCTTTCATCGCGTGATTTACTTTGGACCAATCGTAGAGCAAGATTTTTAGTATGGGGATTATAACAAAAAATAACAACATCAACATAATTATACACACCGTAGGATAGTTCTCTCTATGAAAGTCTTCTCCCAGGACAGCCCATCTTTCAAACCAAGGCCACATAATGAAATCAACCAGTCCAGGTTTCTCTCCTATAAAAAATAGAACAAATAATTGTTTCTTAAATTTACAGAACATCTTTACATTCAAATATTTTTATTTATGAGTTACAAATTTGTGACACATTATTTACCTAAAAGTCAGAGATAAGAAGTAAACTCAGCAAATAGTGAAGAAAGAAAAACTAGATGGAACTTCGACTGCGCGCAGTCGAAAATGATGCCTCCGTCATAGAGCAATTTTACAAACCAAAACAGAAGAAATTTTTCGAATTCAAGTTCAATTGTAATCCATTAACAGGTTTTCAGAATATTGTGATTACAAGCTATTTTTGCATACATAATGAGCCCATGACCTTTGACCTTATGAACCAAGAATCTACTCAGTTCATTGGCTCTGCAAGAAACATACATGACCTAAGTTGGCAGGAATCCATCAATCGGTTCTTGAGATAACGCGATCACGAGCTGTTTTTGCATACATAATGTGCCCTGTGGCCTTTGACCTTTGACCTTGTGACCCCTACATCTAATCAGTTCATCGGCTCTGCAAGTAACATACATGACCTAAGTTTGGCAGCAATCCACCAATCGGTTCTTCAGATAACGCGATCACAAGCTCGTTTTGCATACATAATGAGCCCTGTGGCCTTTGACCTTTGACCTCGTGACCTCAAAATCTAATCAATTTTTCGGCTTTGCAAGTAACATACATGACCTAAGTTTGGCAGCAATCCATCAATCGGTTCTTCAGATAATGCGATCACGAGCTCGTTTTGCATACATAATGAGCCCTGTGACCTTTGACCTTTGACCTCGTGACCCCAAAATCTAATCAGTTCATCGGCTCTACAAGATACATACATGACCAAAGTTTGGCAGGAATCCGTCAACCAGTTCTTCAGATAACGCGATCACGAGCTCGTTTTGCATACATAATGAGCCCTGTGACCTTTGACCTTTGACCTCGTAACCCCAAAATCTAATCAGTTCATCGGCTCTACAAGATACATACATGACCAAAGTTTGGCAGGAATCCATCAACCAGTTCTTCAGATAACGCGATCACGAGAACGGGACGTACGGACGTACGGACGGACGGACAACCCGAAAACATAATGCCTCCGGCTACTTCGTAACGGAGGCATAAAAATGAATGTATCAAGTTTGGTATAATAATATTCTAAAGAATTACCGGGTATGGATTTTTGACAATTTAACAGGCTAAACATTGTGGAGTTACATGTGGGGAAGTCAGGATAATAGCAAAATCAGTTCATTTTCCATTCATGACAGTTGTTTCTGCATGAATCAGTATAATTTGACCCATTAATTTACAATTATGGTGTATGAACTCACATGAAAACTAACTGACTTACCAAAAAAGAAAGCAGAGCCTCTCTTCTTAAGCTCCTCTTCAAGAACATAGAGTTCTTTCTGATAGACGGCTAGAAAGTCTTCTGTAGAGGATGGGGGAGGATGGTAGGTGGCCTTGAAGAATGGTGGACTTATCTGTGAGTGGACGGAGACATGACAATATCTTTTAGGCATTTAGTATACTAGGCTTCATTCTCCAAGACTGTTCAGGTTTAAACAAATTAAAATAATATGTAGTGTTATAGCTCATCATTAGTTCCTCTTCTTTCCACCAAGTCACAAACACATGGGGGTGATCAATCATGTAATAATCTCATTCATAACGCACCTTTTCAAGAGATGCAAAGTATATTCAACAGACAAAAGGAAATGCTGATCAAGCCATAGGCTACTAGTAATCCATTTCTTGAAATGATCTCACTTGCATCATAAAATGGTTAATCAGAAGAAAAAACATCATGGTACACTTGAATTCATCCTTTTCCCAAAAGTCCCTAGTCTCCCTACCTCCATTTCCTGACTTAAATGTATGAATTAAAGGAGACTGATAAAACACATATTGAATGCAATGACATTGCACAAGATAATATGTCAATCTTACCTTGCTTCCAAAGTAATCCAGGAGCATCTTATCCTGAGCCTTCCTGTACGGATCCTCAGGCCATAGGTTGACACCAGGATACGCATCATTCACATACTCACAGACAATGGAAGAATCTCTCACTATCTTCTCATCATGTTCAAAGCATGGAGTAGTCCCAAAAGGATTCTTTGTCTTGTACCATTCTGGTTTCTTGGAGAGACTTATGTTGACCAGTTCATAGCTGGGTAGATCAACCAAAAGAATAACATTTCAATCTGACATTTTAGCTTAAATGTGAACAAATAATTTTGAGGCATTGACAAGTTCTTAGTAGAATAGAATATTGAATTGAATAGACAGTTGTGATGACAATTAAGCTTCATGAAAAGACTTATGTTGATCATGTTATATCTGCATATATTGATATCATTTTATTTTTAATGACAAGTATGTTTATTTAAGTTAAAAATATATGCATATTTGAGGTGTTCATTACTTTCAGTATCTTCCCGAATGATTACAGAACTGACGTATTAGAAACATGCTTAAGTATTTGTCTACTGCAGACTGAGATACAAGACTGCCAGTCGGCTAAACTTTTAGCAGCATATTTTACACACATACAGGACGTTTGAATAAAGTATACAGAGGCAGCTCAATGTGTGTTCTATTAGTCGACTGAATCAGATAATACTTTAACTTGTGAATATGAATCAAAGAATCTACAATGAATCTTGGCTGCAAGAATAAAACTTACTCTACATTCTTGGCTGCAAGCACAAGTCGAGATCTATGAGCGAAAGGGCAGAATCGGAAACTGAAGAGACGAGGAACTCCCTTTTTTAGAGGTGGTATAGGGTCTCCTGTAATTATCAATCAATAATTTATCACATATATTAATGGTCCAAACATGAACATTTGCTTTCCATCAGCACCACAGAGAAAATACAATACAAAACAAAGATATAGACAGGCTCAGGAGCGTACGCAGGGGGGGGGGGGGGGGGGGGGGGGGTTAACCCCCCTCCATGTTTCTGTTATTGCTAAAGGGGGGTGGGGTGGGTCTTGATAACAAAAAAGTACACACTACCCCCTCCTCTCCTCCCCCCCCCCCCTGTTGAAAACAAAACAAACAAAACAAAATTTCTCCCCCCCACCCCGGCCTGTCACACAGGCCTAACATCAAAGAATTCTGTAGAATTGTCCTCATCCCCCCGCAATTTTTTTGATAACGAATTGGATAAGAAGAATAAGCTCCTCGGTCCTTGCCCCCCCCCCTCCCCGCTTATTGGCCGCCGCTAAATATTTTATCTTGAATTGGACAACAAAAAAGCACTCCTTACAGCCTCCCCCCCCCCCCCCCCACTGAGCGGAATATAGGTCGGTGCAATTTTCAAATTGGGGGGGGGGGCAAAAAAAAAAAAAAATTTAGTGCACAACAGTCACAACCCCCCCCCCCCCCCCCCCCCCCCACTGCGCGAAATATCAGTTGGCATGATTTTCAATTTTAAAACACTCCCCGGCATTGAAAAAATCCTGCGTAGACTATGCCGTGGAGCTTGGACAGACTGTACGGAGTATACTGCTAGGGTCTACAAGGAAAAAAAATTGCACATTAATTTGTTGCTCAAAGTAAACTCTGTTCCATTAATAGTTCAATTTAAGAAAAACAAGTCTATTCAGTCTACTTATTGTTCTGTTTATTGTTCAATGGCTTACTTCGTTCCACACAACGACCCATTGAAATTCCAATGCCAATGGGTTGTTGAGCAGCTGCAGCAGGCCGGTTATGAATTGCATTTATAGAAGTCTAGGTCTAATACAATCACATAATTACTTCCTGAAAACATAAGACTCTACACCCTTATTCAACTTTCGAGGAAGGTCGGGTGTAAAGTTTGTGAATACACCATTTATATATTGCCAAAGTGATAGTCTACTGTCTTTACCACACATTTTTTAAAACATAATTTAAAGGCCATTTGTAATGGTAAGCATCATGCAAGCGGCCCTAGCGCAGCCCCACTGCCACAACTTGCCGACTGATCAGAATCATCAACGCGCCCAAGGCTTAGCGGTCGCCGCTCTTGTCAAAGTGGAGTAGCCTAGGCCTAGGCTAGAGCTAGGCCCTACATTATTATTAGCTAAATCTATAAACAAGGGTTTTTGCAACACGAACCTTGAACAAGATGCTTCGGATTCGGCTTTGCTTTTGAAGTCATCCTTACAAAATGGTGTCAATCCGGGCTAAAAATGAGCTGAAATGCCTGAAAGACCAATCTCTTTAACGTTAGTCTTCACTCTTTATCTTTAGCTCTTTCTCTGCCTAGCCTCAGGTTTTGCTGACAAGCGCGGGCCTGCCAGCGCTATATTTTCTCTGCATGTGTCTGTCTATCTTACTTCCGGGATTCCATGTACGCGGAGTAAGCTGGCGAGAAACGGGTCTGCGGAGGATGATCGAATCTCTATGAACGCGGGCCCTGAAAAGCTACACGTGAAACATCTCCTTTTTATTGATATTCTTTCCTAGCTGGGATAAGAGTTCAGTATAATAGCCCTTTTCATTTTCTTCAGTCCCTTTTCCAATATGCCGTTTTAAAAGTGACTCATATAGTTGAGGTTAATGAATGTAATACCGCCGACAAACATCAAGTTTTGTGCCACACGTATTGGGAGAAAACAGCAATGACTCAAATTCTTTACATTTTATTTTACATCACTATCTGCTCCTACAATAAGCAATTAAACTTTGCAAACCTGCAGATGACGGACTAAAAATCAAAAGATCGTCAGCGTATAGGCCGACATCAAAATGATTCACTTTGCGCAGCCTGTACACTGACATTCAGTTCAGTTCATTTTATTCAAAACCAGACAAAGCATGATATAATCTGTCACATACCGGTAAAAAAGAGACTGGTATAAAAGTACATCAATCAACATATTCTAACTTGATTACATCATAAACTGAATGGTTTTTAGGACGTACCCCTTGAACATTCATCCACAATAATCAGGAAGGAAGACAGTGTCTCCTCACATTACGCAACAATTCCCAACATGAAGTGGAGGGCCTATCTTAATTTGGAGAGCTTATATACCAATGTCCTTCTGCATAAGGGGAAGGGGGAAAACCGGAAAAGCCCGAGTCTATATATTACCTGAGGCCCCTAATCAAGTTTTCTCAAAGAGCTTTTCATGAGAATGCGGTCAAATGCTTTTGAAGCATCGAGGAATAGTTACACAAAAGCAAGGTGTCCTCCTACGCTTTTGAAGCATCGAGGAAGAGTTACACAAAAGCAAGGTGTCCTCCTACGATAAATGGAAATCACTTTCAAATCGAAAATACACAACTGAGTCATATAGAATAGTATGCTTGCTATCCATAATCCGGTATTTGCCAGCGGCTCGAAAACTTGCCTGCAATTTAGATAATAATGTTTATAAAAGTCAATTTGTCAGATCAAAATATCTCTCCTGAGTGAAAATTGAAGCCCTAATTCTGTATTAACACTGCACGTTGCAAATCAAATTCAAATTTGAAAAAGAACAATGCCACCATACTTCTAGGAAAGTTTTCAATTATTTGAAAAAACATTTTCCCCCTATTATTTTCACCTCGCAAATCCCTGCAACGCCGCCTATAAAGCCAAATTGACTATCGTAAAGTAAAAATATACAATTCCCCATACAGCGCTTAAAAAAAAAAAAAAACTCTAGCCATAAGTCTATACTCCGAGTGGCGGATTCCGGGGTGGACACAGGGGGCACGTGCCCCCTCCCCCCTCCCGGTAAAAAAAAAATGGGGAAAGAGGGGAAAAGAAAAGGGAGAAAGGGAGAAAAAAAAGGAGGGGAAAGAAAAAGGAGGGGAAAAGAAAGAAAAGGGGGGAGAAAAAGAAGACGAAAAGAGGGAGGGAGAAAAGGGGAAAGGAAGAAAAGGGAAGAGAGAGGAGGAAAAGGAAGAAAGGGGAAAGACGGAGGAGCGAAAAGGGGGATAAGGAGAATAATGAGAAGGGAAAGGGGAAAAGAAAGAAAGGGGGATGATTATTATAAGAAGATGTTTTTTATCGGGAAAAGGGCGGGGAAGGGGGCACGCAATTTTGCAGTGTGCATAATATGGGGTCCCTCTCAGTGCTATACGTGTAGCCCCCCCCCCCCAAAAAAAAAGTACAAGAAGAACAAAAAAAAAAGAGATGGAAAAAGGGGGGGGGGGGAGAGAATTAAACAACGATAGAAGAGAGCTGCGAGAGCATGAGGAATTGCATTTCTTTTAAAAGAATAATGGGATAACAACCAGGGGCGTCGCTAAAAAAAGGAAAAAAGGAACACTAGAAGAGAAAGAGGAAACAAAAGAAACGGAAGATGAAAGAGAGAGAGGGGTAAGAGCCTGAGAGAAGAAGGGTGGGAGTAAGAGAGAGAGAGGGGGGGATATTTGGTGCAGTCGCCACGTCGAGGGGGCAAGAAAGATACGCAAAGATAATTAGGTTGCTGTGTCGGGTCCGCTGTGTCAGGTCCGCTGTGTCGGTATTCTTGCTCGATCCTCGTGTGCTATATCAATGCAGAAGTTTAAAGTCGGTAAGATGTATTACTATTATGTCAATCGGCCGGCAAACTTTTTTTCCCAACAAACTGTGACTTTTTATCGGACAGAGAAACATTTTAGAAAATGTAGACATTAATGAATAAGAGTCGGTACAACGAATCGTCTTCTTTATTTAATGAAACGTCAAAGCTTCCGCGCTTCGCGCGGGAGGGGGAAACTGAATTCAGATAAGGATTAAGAGTAAAGAACGGTACAACGAATCGTCTTCTTTCTCCAATATTTGAATGAAACGGCAAAGCTTCCGCGCTTTGCGCGGGAGGGGGGGGGGGAAACTGGGTTCAGACATGGATTAAGAAAAGAAAACAGTACAATGAATCGTCTTCTTTCTCTAATAATTATATTAAATGTCAAAGCTTCCGCGCGTCGCGCGGGAGGGGGGAAAACTAAATTAAGACAAGGATTAAGAGTAGAGAACTGTACAACGAATCGTCTTCTTTCTTGCTAACAACTTAATGAAACGTGGGGGGGGGGGAGTGAATTCAGACAAGGATTAAGAGTCGAAAACAGTACAACGAAACTTCTTTCTATAATGATTTAATGAAACGTCATAGCTTCTGCACTTCGCGCGGGAGGGGCGAAAGAAGAATTAAGAGTCGGGAACGGTACAACGAATCGACTTCTTTCTCTAACAATTTAAGGAAGCGTCAAACCTTCCGCGCTTCGCGCGGGAGGGGGGGGGGGGGGGAAGCTGAAAAATAACTTAGTTCCTGGCCCTGGGTTTATAGGGTTAAATTTGTATATTGGGACATTTGCATTAATATATGTGTCGGTAATTGGTGGCTAGTTTTGACGGTTATCGGTGGTCTCTACACCCCGCCCCCCCCCGACAGTGGCGTACGCAGGATTTTTTCAAGGGGGGGGGGTTAACATTTTGAAATCGGGCCAAAAATTCCGCAACGACTCAGCCAGCCGCTTAATAAGCGGGGGTGGGGGGAGGGGGGGGGGGGGAGTAAGAGGGCATACTATTTTATTTTTTTGGTCACAAAATATACGACTTTCCGTTCCGTTGGGGGGGGGGGGGGGGTAAGGTCATCTTTTTTAGGTCATCTATTAGGATTTTTGTATAAAAAAGGTCTTGCGACGCCCCTGATAACAACTGCAGTTTAATATACACTCTATTTTTGCAAGCATTACTAGTGAAGTACCAGACCACTGTCTTTCTAACTTATCAGAAGGCCTCGTTTTTTTTCTCCAGGAAGTGCCGGTTGACATTGGGGTGGACATTAATGTGCCAAATGTGGTTCTCAAATGAAGTGCCTGAAAATGGGCCTAATTAATGTGGTTCTAAAATTGCAAGTGCTTCCTACGCAGGGAGGGGGTTCTGACCCCCGCTTGGTTGCTCCGCTCCATCGCCGCTGACGCCTCGCTCCATCGTTTTCCATATATGATTTCACCCCAAGCGATGTTGTGCCCCCCCCCCCCCCCCCCGGTAAGAAATTCCTGGATCCGCCACTGATACTTATCCTCACGATCACTGGCAATACAACAAGCGTATTTTTACGACGGGTGTGTTTTCGGGGGTTGCGTAATTTGTGTGAGAGGAGGACAAAGATGATTGATGTAAAATAACAATATATTAAAAATGATGATTTGCATTCACCTAAAATGTAATCAAGTTGTAATGATTATTATAGTTGGGAGAATAAAGGAATCGATCAGGTAAATTTCCCCAATTTGCATCATTAAAGGTAATACAAAATTTTGGGAAATTTTGAAAATTGGGTGGATAGTGAATCTTTACAATTTTGATATATTTGGATGCCCCTGTGGATGTATAATAAGCACTAAAAAAATTAGCCACTAAAACACTTCTGTTTTCGAGAAAAATTGAATATAAACATTTACCGGTGCTCCCGGTAAATTTTTGATAAATTTCAAATAGCGTCTACGGCCGTACAATGGTAGCTGCGACCATGACAATCTCAGAATATGTATTTGTGATATATAATTTCCAAACGGGAATAGCTAATCGGTCGATTTTAGTCAAGAAACATTGTTTCATAGCTAAATTAATATTTTGACCTTGAGAGGGAGCTATACAACAAAAAGAGTTTATTAAGTTCATAACTTTAGACTCGATTTCAATTGTGACAACGATCAATGAATATTGTAGGAAAGCATAGGCTTCCAATATGTTAATTTGAACTAAATTCATGACCCCCATACCAAAACTTTGTAATACCTTTAATATTCTGTTTTTAATCAAACTTTCAGAATATCTTACACCGGCCTATCGAAACCACTATATTAGCACCATTTTCTCTCATCTGAACAATGTTTCAAATTATATTTCCACTTTCTCATATATGTTATTTAATAAAACACAAACAAAGGCAAAGCAGTGCATTACCAAAATCGATACATAATAATTTGTTAGTATACATTGCATCATTATGAAGAATTGTAGAAAAATATAATCATTCTTCAGTACATCTTAAGGTGAGAAAAAGTGGAGGAACCTATAAAAGAAGCTTGTGAAGTCGCATCTATAGGCCCCTTTTACTTTTTTAGGGAAAATCAAACTTGTATGAAAGGACAGAGAGTGAAAAGGGAAGAGAATAGGATAGACAAGGAAGAAGGAGAAGGAGAAAAGGTGAATAGTGAAAAGGAATGCCGGGAGGGGTAAGAAAGAGAGAGAGAGAGAGAGAGTGCAGCATCCTAAGTATAGGCCTACAAGTTCATAAGAGTTCAAGTGCACTTTCAATATTAACAAAAGGG